GAATAAGGAAGGAGCAACCTCGAGACCAAATGATAGAACTCTCCATTAAAAGTGTTGGTTTGGGATACAAAATCCCATTTTAGGTCTGTCATAAGGATGAATGTCCAATTGCCAAAATTCGGCTTTAAGATCAAACTTTGAATAAATATGGGCTTTAGTGATTCTCGCAAAAAGGGAATTTCGATAAGGCAATGGGAATTTGTCATCTTGGAGGAAAAGATTAAGAGGCTGGTAGTTGATAACTAATTTCATCTTACCTCTATTTTGCTCAGTACGTTTATTGACATAGAAAACTTTACAAGCCCATTGAGAATTTGAAGTTTCAATAAGGCGTTGTTGTAACAATTCTGAGCATTCTTTTTTAGCAAGAGTCAAATGCTTTGGATTCATTCCTGAATGACTTGCCTTAGTAGGATTTATATCCTCATTTTTCTTCAAGGGGAGCCTAACATAGAATTCTAGGTTTTTCCACAAAGGATGAGAACATTTCTGGGAGAATTCGAAATGATTTTCTAAGCATGATTCCAACAGTTTCTACATGATTGGATCTAACAGACTCATTTGGATGGAAAAGAGCCTTTGGATATTGACGAATTCAAAGAATTGGTCTTTATATTTAAGTCCTTTTCCAGGAATAATTCTCAAGTCTGGAAGTTGGCTCATAATATCCCACCTAATAATCAAGTCTTTATTGGGAAGACTAGATCCAAGAATTTTAGTGGTAATGGAGCACTGAGGGAAAAATTGAATAGACACAGGTGTGGTGCGAACATTTGTAGAAAAAATATCTCCTGGAGCAGAGTTGAAATACCGAACACAGGAAGTCCAGTATTCTTCAGGAAGAACTTTAGTAATTAAAATTGAAGCACTAGCACCAGTATCTATGAAGGCAATGACTGAAATTGGTTTGGCAAACTTTGAGAGATAGATTTTGACTGGGAAATGGGGACAATGAAGTTGACTGGAATGTATACTGGAGTGCATATTTTCAGGCTGTGAAGATAGATGGAAAAGTTCTTCAGGTTCTGAGTCAGAGTCTGTTTCACTAGGGGTGAAATAATAAGGAACGATACAAAGTGTTTGGTTAGTGGGATTTTCATCTACAAAGAATAGGCATTTGATATCATATTATCAAGAGAGATTTCTGTCTCTAGTTCGATATTATGAATGAGATGATTCTGACCTTTTTTTGCCTGAGGACAATTTTTGGCAAAGTGGCCCTTCTTGTTGCAAATGAAGCAACGATTTGGTTTCTTGGTCATGTGAAGTTTCTTCGTTTCCGCAGGAATCGCCATTTCTTCTTTCTTCTGAAGTGCTTAGATCTTTTCACTTGATGCTTCTTGAAGTGCTTGTTTTTCTTTGAATATTTTCTGCAAGAACTGTTACAATCTTTCTTTGAACATTTGATCTTCAAATATTGTTTGGAGCAAGCACCATCAAGTTCACGATTGTCTCTGATGTAATTTTTCATCATCTATCTTCGGAGGCAAAGTTCATCAAGTCAAAGATGGATTTCTTGTTGTAACTCTCCAAATGGGATATCAACAATTCTTCTTTGCTTGTTGAGAAAAGATCTCTCAACTTGTTGGAAGAGTTCTTTAGGAATCGAAGCTAAGAAGACTTGTTTCAAATTTGGATCAGCTCCTAGGTCATAAAAGAGTTTAATCATTTCTCTGTAATGGTAGTCTAGGTATTTTTCTTGAAGAGAAAAATATTTTCTCTCAAAGTATTATCTTCTTTTGAGTTCAAGAAGATCAGCAGGTTTTCCTATGAAATATAGGTAAATGATTCCAATGGCTTGGGAAAAGTCTTGCAGAAGAAGAAAAGTCATTTGATCTGTCTCAGAAGTTACTTGCCACCAATGTTTAAGGCTTCCAGTAAACCTTGTGGTAAATTCTAAAAAAAACATCATATTTGTTTTCAACAACAAGAGCTCTAGTGTTCAACCAAACATGGAATTCATCCAATTTTTCTGGTCATTTGGAATAAGGAGTATCATCAAGAGTGAAAAACTATTTGGATGGAGAAACAGAAATATGAGATGGGTTATTAATTTGAATAACCTCTGGTTCAGATGAATCTGATTCCATGTCTTGTTCTGGTGGATCGGCCATAAAAATTGGAGAAGTAGTTAGTGATATATGAAAAGATTCAATGGAAGGAATTGGAAAAGTAGAGGAAGAGGAAGAGGATGAAGAGTCAGATTCCAAGTCTGAATTTAGCAAATTTGATACCTTTGCTGTTTTTGGAGAAGTGTACTCTTGTGGATGTTGTTCTGAATCAATTTTTGGATTCTTTTGTTGATCTTTGCTTAAATCTCTCAGAAAAGATTCCAAGGAGTTTGAGATCATCATCTGCTGGTCAAAATTCTTTTCATGTTCTCCAGAGGACTCAGTAACAGATTTTGCTTTTTCCTTCATTCTTTCCTTTCGGAGCTTTTCCATTTCTGGAATGTGATTTCGCATTTCTATCATATCACTTCTATCTCGTTGGGTAGAAGTTTCGGTTGCAAGAGCAATTGCAGCAAAAACTGAAGAGTTTTACAATGGTGGAGGAGAGTATCCTATTCTTGGAATAGAGAAAAAGTCAATAGGCGTAAATTTTCCTTCTTCAAGGAGACTGATTTGCCTTTTGAGTTTCTCTATTTCATTTTTCGAACTTTCAAGATAATGGTATCCAAGATGCTATCCTCATTCCAGAGTATGGAGTCTTTTCTGGAAATCCACAAGCATCTTTTTGATAGACTCGTCATATCTTCGGATTTCTTATTGTACATCAACAATTTTGGAGCCAATAGTTTTGAAAGCCTGATTTTGTGCCAAAATAGTTTCCGATTGCCAATTTAGAATAGCCTCAACAACAAGTGTTCTGTTTGGTCTTCCACGTTCATCTACATCAGTAGGAGAATGAATTTTTGGAGCATGAAGGTATCTTCGCTGTGGATCAGTAAATTCCTCAGTAGCAGGAAAAGAAAGCTGAGAACTTTCAACAGGATTTAAAGGAGGGAAATCAACTTCATTGAACATAGAAATAGATGGAAGTTGCCTGGTTCACAGGAAGGACTGGGATTTCAAGTGAATAAGAATTCTTCTTTACCTACTTATAGATTGGTTTGTAGAAAGGGGAAACAATAGATTTTTTATATAGGGATGAAACTGGAGGTGAGGGCGAGGATGGAGGTAATAGAAATGATAGAGGTGATGGCGAACCATATGAAACCATAAACTGGTATCCGCTATTTTCTCCAAGGGTATCAATGGTTGAGTCGCCATCCAAATATCTTTGATAGAAGCTATCCTTGGCCTTCCTAGTTTTTCGTTTTGGTCTGGTAGCTAGATCTACTTCATCTGGAGAATTCGTAGATGAAGAACAGTGGCAAAAATGATCCCAGAAATAATGACCATAGGGGTCTTTGTAGTGATGGACAGGATGTCCGTCACTTTTAAAGTATCGAACCAACTTTTTTGGGTCTGGTTCCTCAGGAACTGGATTAGGAACACAAGGTTCTATCATAAAGATAGTAGGAAAGATGGAAGGGGTTTCTTCTTTTTCTTTGCTGAATTTGATGGTTACAGTACCATCTCTTTTCCTAACGAATTCAGAATCTGAAGACTGCAGAGACTTGCTATTTTAGTGGAGCTTTTCATAATTTGTTATCCAAGATTCAGGGAGAAGATTGACTAACTTTTCTTTTGGAATCTGTCGAGGAACATGGATGCAAAAGGCCTGATCATTTTGCATGGATATGAATAGTGCATCTTCATTTCCATTTTGGAAATTCAGATCTATGGCATGATTTTGGACTCTATACAGCATTTGGTAATGAAGAGTTGCAGCAATTGAATCAGCAGTTTGAGGTGCTCCAATAAGCTGAAGTTGAACTTTCAAGAAGGAAAGTAGCTGGGGATTTGAAAGGGCAATATTAAAATTTAAATAAAGGGTTACATAGACTGTTCCAACATTGAAGGTAGTTTGAACAGTATCAATACAAGCATGCTAGTATTTTAGGAACCTAGTATCCAAAAGAGCCATTCTTACCACAACAGGCAAGCCTTTTCTCCAATGAAAGGTGAGAGCAAAATGGACTACTCCATAGTGAATATGCGAATACCCTTGTGGATCCACTGTTTTGGAAGTTCAGGAGGAATTTGAAGAGTAACAAAGTACTCCTTTTCAGTGGTAGGAATTGGGTGTTGGTCAAATTTGGAAGACTGAACGTATTCTTTGACCTTTTTCGGAGTATGATGGATGAGATGTCTTATAAACCTAATGGGGGAAAAAGATGAAGTGGGTTTGGCAAAGGCTGAATATGGGTTCATGAGAGGAAGTTGCGTTTCGGAAATCTTTGTTTCATCGCTAAGAGAGACTTTATAGAGATAGTCTATCTTAGAAGTATTTGAAGTACGAAACTCTGTTAAAGATAATGAAGAAGATGATGGAGTGAGAGAAGCAGTAAGAATGATTGGAGTTGTATCTGAATTAGTCATGATAAAGAGAGAGGGGATCTTCGCAGCACTGGACAATCACCAGCTAAGCGCATTGAACGAACCAAGCTAGACATAAAACCACGCTCTGATACTAATGAGGTGATCTACGCTGAGAATCAAGGAAAACAAGGTCAGTTTGCAATAGGTATGCTATCTCGCACAGGCGAACCTCTTGTTCAAGCCTTTCAGGGACTGCCTTTTAACTGCAAAACTACCTGGAGATTTAATTCAGAGCATAGAGACGCTCAGAGTTACCAGGATGATGTGTTGCTTAACTGGCCGAGCTGCATTTTTTAAAGGATCAATGCTAATTATCAGGGACCAAATTACACATTGGACCAAAATTCATGTACTATTTGTGTCATTATCCCTTCTTTTTAAGTGCATGTTTGGACATAGTTTTACTTTTTTATATTAATTTAAATATTATGGCGGATTCATTTGACATTTTTCTTAACTCGAGTCGGTTTGAATCTTTACACTATATTAATGTTGACACGTGAGTTCATGCAGGGACACGCTGCTGATAAGGTCGGGTCCTAAACTAGCAGACCTGGAAGAGATCCCGGAGGCGTGCAGGAATGAGGTGATTGAGCGGAATCAGCAGGTCCAATGGTTGGGAGGCCTCCTGATGGTACTGTTGAGCGAGGGTTTAGGATTGAATCCGAGCAAGCTCCTGGATATGACGTGCTTGGAGAAGAGAAACATGGCGGGGCAATACTACCCGTGCTGTCCCCGGCCGGATCTGACGATCGGGATCGTGTCCCACACCGACCCGGGAGTGATCACAGTGCTCCTGCAGGACCAGATCGGCGGGTTGCAGGTGAAGCACGGCGATGAGTGGGTGAACGTGAAGCCCATTCCGGGCGCTCTCATTGTCAACATCGGCGACCTCCTCCAAGTAAAATTCCAGTGATGGAAGTTTTGGAGCCCCGTTAAATTGCAAAGTTGCATTTTTGCAAATTGATTGGTTTAATTGGTGTTTTAAGGAGCTTCGTGCACAACACAGCTTAGCAATCACCTCATTTCTATAAAGGACAGAGATCTGTGCTTACATAAATTTGGATTTACCTAGATCATGTCCAACAACGAGTACATAAGCGCGGACCACCGAGTGCTGGCCAACACAAGCGGAGAACCACGCATGTCGGTGGTGGTTTTCTACTATCCGAGTGATTGTGAAAGCCCGTTCGGACCGTTCCCGGAGCTTATATCGCTGGAGAAACCTGCTGTTTATCAGAAATTCAAGGTCGAGGAATACCTGAAGACATTCTACACTAACGAGTTAGATGGGAAATCTCTGAAAAATTACTTCAGGGCTTGATATAAGAGGCATATAGGGTAAGTAGATGATGATAAGATGCTTCCTTATTATTATTAAGAAGCAATCGCTTATCAAGTTGTAAGTTCGGTTTGGACATACCAAATTCCAAGCCATTGCCCTAATCCTAACAATGTGTGTGTAACTATATTAAATAACGAGTCATCTATTTTTCTCCATAGTTGATCGATACGTCCGGCACCATTCACTCATTCCTCGTTCTCTTTCCATCGCAGTTCCCATCAAAATCGCCTGTCCTTTAAATCTCCCTTAATTAGAGTATATTAATTCTTTTTGTGGATGATCAAGTTTTTTTTTTGTCGGAATTTTAATGATCTAAATATCATTAAAGAATTGATTGATTTTCTATCGTAATGTGAAAACTTAGCATGACTTCTTTATAGCGTTATGAAAACTATAAATAAGATTTAGTTTTTTTTTCAAGTTGGGATCGTGATTCGAGGAGCATAATTTAATTCATTAGAACAGAATCAATGGAGAAGCCTACTTCAGTTTAATCAACTTGTGACTGTGAGGTACTTTAACGTGTCATTTTAGATTTTTCTTTGGCCAGTAGTGTCATTGTATATTATTTGTTGTGGAAGGAAGCGATTGAACAACAAAATAGACGAAATAAGAAAATAAATTAAACACCAGTTTTACGTGATTCGGTCAATGTAACGTATGTCCATGAGGAGAGCAGTAGAGAATTCCATTGTAAATTAAGCGATATAATAGAGATTACAACCTCACTCAAATCACTCAAACACTTTTGGTGTTTTTCAATGCCCAATTACCCTCAATAACTCATATAGTGTTTAGCCCAATAATTCTTCACAAAATAATCTCTCAATCTCACGAAAAAATTAAACAAATCTTAAACTCACAAGATTTACGCTAAAACACTCTTTAGTTTCACCGGTATGTATTTTGTGAAGAACCTCCTACCTTGGATTGCGAGCAAATAGCTCACGGCCACAACAACCCAAGACGAAAACCACCTCCCATCAACTAGGTGTTGAGAAACTCCCACAATTCTATATATATTTATATATCCAAGGAAAGGATGCTCAGTGGCCAACTTAACATGAAAAGGAAACCTGTATAATTCGGTTGACCCATACCCAACACTTTCGCTTATATGTCTTGACCGAATCAAACATGAACTTTAATTTCCGCATGTGTTTCCTTTTTTCTTTTCTTTCATGGTAATTCCACTTTGGAGTCCAACACCAAAATATCAAGCCAACGCCAACATGCTTCGGATATGCAAGATCTCGCTTCATCTTTCGTGCTTATACGCAATTTAATTTGGGTTGACTTCGTTCAACGAGCTCAAATTTGACAAATAATCTAACAATTTACGCCTTGACTCGACGTTTGAGCTAAGTCATAATCGTTTTGCTGAAAATTCGAACTTCACTGCTACTGTCCCGTAGCTCCTCATGAGTTCAAACGCCACAAATATCTTTCAAGTCTAAGCTTAGCTTGAACTTCGCCATAACCGTGAACCTCATCATAACACTAACTCCACCTACACCTTTAACTGTCTTATAAGGATTTTAGACACAACTTCCTCTACCACAGATAAATCAAAATCATCATTGCATCCATATATGTTAGGAAATCGAATATGCACCTTGTCAAATTCAGCAGTTACAACAACTCTTAGCTCTATAGGCTCTACCTCGCTATAAGCTTGTCTGTGTCAATTACTCCGTTAATACCCGTAACCTGAGGAGATTCCAGTTGAGGTGGACACAGTCCAGATCTGCATAAACACCACTATAATCACTCATAGTAAGAAGTATTGGAGACTTGATAAATCTAACTTCTCTACTGATAACAGGTGAACCACAACCGATAACCCTCCTCACCTTGTGCATAACCTAGGAACATGCAGTTTCTTACCCTCCATCGAGCTTAACATCACTCACTCGAACATAACACGAGCAACCAAATATTCTAATAAAAGAATAATCAGTAATGTTACCTGACCACACTTCTTCGGAAGTCCGATATCCAATCGCAGTCTATGAAGATCTATTCACTAGGTAACTTGCCGTACTAAGCGTATCCGCTAGAAATCTTTTAGTCATACAAGCACTAAAAAGCATTTTATGGGACGTTTCTAGTAATGTTTTGCTTATTAACTCTACAACATGTTGTGGTTCATTGGTGCTAGTATGGTGTCTCACTATACCTAATGCATAATTCGTTGAATAGCTCCAAACAAAACTCCATGCTACTGTCAGTCCGTACATACTCGATCATTTTATCAGTCTCCTTTTCGATCAAAACTCTTAACTGCATGATTCTGACAACATCATCAAACTTGTGCCTCACCACAAACACCCAAGTCTTCCTTGAGTAGTCATCCATAATTATTAGCATAAACCTGACACTCTTTTTCGAAGGAAACCGCGACAAGCTGTGAACATCCAAGTGAATCAGCTCTGCAATCTCCGTGGACTCTTTAACAGTCGTAATGAATTGTACTTTTTGATATTTACCTAAATCACAGCACTTGCATACATTCAGTTTTTCAGTAACATAACTACAATGCAAATTCCTTTCACTTAAAACCTTCAGGGTTTTCTTGCTAATGTGCCCCAAACGCATACGCCATAATTTAGACTTTTGGATAGATGCATCCGATGTATCCATAGAGAAATTCGTTACTGTCTCATATTGAAGCTCATACAAGCCACTATACTTAATTCATCTCATTATTACTAAGGCACCTCGAACAGCCTTAAAAATTTCACCTTCTGAAGTATACTGACACACGGCTAAATCTAGGACACTCAAGGATATCGGATTCTTCTTCAACTCAAGAACATGCTCACTTTAGTCAATGTTCTCACAATACCGTTATGCATTCCGATTTTAATATCGTCGACACCTACAATATCGCACTTATCATTGTTCCCCAACTGCACTTTACTACTATCCGTGCACTCATAAGTAGTAAATCAGTTCCTATTTGGTGTAACGTGAAACAAACTACCATAATCCATAATCCATCCATCAAACAATGAGTAATCCGTAACAAACAGGACAAAATCAGCACTATCCGATGGCTGGGTGAGGTTGACCTTGCCCATCTCTAGCAAGGCTCGCCCTCACCGGATCTAGTGGGGCTCGCCTCACCAATGGCTGAGTGAGCTCGAGCCTCAACACTGGCCGGGTGAGGTCGACCTTGCCGACCAGAGGAAGAAGAAAGAAAAAAAGAAAGAGTAAAAAAGAAAAAATATATATATTTTTGAAATATTAAAATATTATTCAAAATTGTCCATGTCGGCGATAGCCGTGTCACATCAGCGCCGGCCAGCCAAAATTGACCAGATTAACTTAATTGATACAAATGCAAAAAGTTTATAACTTAATTGGTATAAAAAAGGGTTTAAAACTGAATTAATACAATTGCAATAGGTTTAAGACTTTTTTGATAATTTTCCCAAGACAAGGTGTGAGGGAACCAACTCATCTTTTTACCATGCAACAACTTACTCCCCCGTACACAATCTTTCAAAAACACACACCCATGCAAAGTTTTGGTAAGAAAATAATTTCCATTGACTCAATTCCCTAAGCGATTTAAATGCCGGAAAATGTTTTTCGTAAAATAAACGGAGCTTGATGTCAATTGAGCCCAAAATATAGGGGTGCCCTTGAAAAGTAACTCTCACTAGTATATCTTCACAAAAAAATGCAGGCGATCAAATTAGAGCCTACGCTATAATATAAAATCACCTTGTATTTTTCTGTTTTTTCAAAACTGAATAATTACTCGATCATGACATGTAATATTTGACTGAACGAGGTTATGACTAGGTACGTGTCATGCAAGTGTCAAGGATCATCGTAGACGGCAATTGACAATGGGACCATTCACTCACGCCTGAGATGAAGACAAGGCGTGAGTGAACCAACTCATCTTTGTACCATGCTAGTGGGCTCTATCATCTTTTATCGTGCCCATTCTTCTGAATGCCATCGTTCCCCGTCTCCCCTTAAAATTAACCCCCTCCCCCATCCTCCAAAACAAACACCGAGGCAAAGATCACAAGAATCGGAAGAATGCGACATTCTGGCCTCTTCTTCCAAATTCCGTAGACGTCATTGTTTACATCCTAAAGAGGAATGTTGGGTCGTGTCCTGACATGAATTTTGACACTTGCTAGTGGCTACGCGTCTCGACATGAAATGATGGAAGAGAGAGAGAGAGAAAAGGCATCTGCAGGGACGAGAAGGCCATGGGATAAGAGAGTGACTGAAAACCTTTCGACTAATGGCGCCCCAGTAATTTTTATGAACTTCGAGGGGGGTTTTCCGGTGAAAGAGAGAGAGTTGGATCATTTTCGGTCCACCAAATTAAGACGAGTTAGGGCGCGAATATAACCATTTTGTTCCTGGCTCAATTTTTGGCATATTTATATTCTCTGAATGAGTTTCTGAGCAAAATGTAGCGTTTGAAAATGATACAAAATTTCTATTCCAAGAATAAAAATTCGTTTAATAGCGTCGATGTAGAATTCATGTATGGACGGACGGCAGCCGACAAGCGGTGGGTGGCCGACAGCCGAAGGCAGCAAGGGTGACTTCTGAACACCGGGAAGCAACGTTAGGGTTTCCGTGCCCAAGCGTAAAGTTTCGGATCAAGCACTCATATCTAGTCATATATTAGAAAATAATTTCCAATTTTTTGAAGAGGAAATTATTTTCCTAAATTTAAGTATAGGTTTTCAAGTGACTAGGAAAACATTTTCCGTTGACTTATTTTCCTAAGTGAACCAAATGCTGGAAAATGAAGAAAATGTTTTCTCGGAAAATGTTATCCACGAAACAAGCGGAACCTTCGATAGATTACGTCCGGGCATGATATATCATCTCGGATCGTTACATGGCTAGATCTTGCTTTTTCGCTCCATACGGAAAAAGAAGTTCTATTAGATGCCAAGGGACATCGTACATGACAAGGGATCATTCACTCAAACCTGAGATGAAGACATGGTGTGAGTGAACCAACTCATCTTTGTACCATGCTAGTGGGCTCTATCAACTTTTGTCGTGCCCATTCTTCCGAATGCCATGGTCCCCTCCGTCTCCCCTTAAAATTAACCCCCTCCCCCTCCTCCAAAACAAACACCGAGGCAAAGATCAGAAGAATCAGAAG